AAGTACTTTTGTCCATTTCTCACAAACGGTGTTATCTAAAAATACAACAATCATATTATTTAATGTCCATATTGTGTCCAGGATTATAAAAATCACCTTTAAGTTTTAAACAATTTGTAAGGAGATTTGATTTATTTAGATCTACATCAAAGGATATGAATTTTTTAAATTCATCTTGCATGGGAATAGACTCTAACCAATCGCAAATCACCACAGGTAAAGTGTTTCCATCACTAATATACTTCATTATTTCTTTAAGCACAACATCTGATCCAAACTAAACACAAAAAAAAAAATTGTTAAAGTTTAAATATTATTTTATTACAAAATATTGAATAAATACCAAATTTAAGTCATCAATCATATTAATTTGTTCATTCTTGTTATCAATAGTTTCCAATAACCCAATAATTACTGATATTGAGTTATACGTCAAAACTTTATCATCATTAATCCACGTTTTGACATATCTTTCATATAATCTGAACGAAGATGATGTATTATCATTTGTGCCAGGTAATGTTTGGGACAATTTTTGATCGACGCCATAATTTTTAAATGCTAATATCACTTGACACACATGGTTGGCATACATATGTCCTACTTCAGGATAGGAAGTTCTATCTAAATAGAACTGTAAAACAACATTAACAAAATTTGTCAAATCATTTTGATAGTCATCATTGAATAATGGTTTTGATGGGAGGAACACTTCTCCAGTTTCTTCAAATGTAACTCTCAAATTTTTTTTTTTCTTTACTACAGGATTTCTTAAGTGATTCAATACAATTAAATGTACTTGTAGCTGACTAAGTATGTTGTCAAAAATAATTTCTTCATCAAGACCACTTCCAATCAAAAGAGTATTTAAATTATTCCATATTGTGGTTTTTAAATTGTGTAATTTATTGTTATTGGTCAAAAATTCTAGGAATACTGCTAAATGAGATATAACTGGCGGTGTCATAGTTTTTGCTAATTTACCAGTTAGACTGAACTTGACCAAAGTTAAAACCTGTTGAAAATAAATTAAATAAGTGCAAATTTGTGTAATAATAACTTAAATATAAATTTAAATAAAATGCATACTTCAGAAATCACAGTGTTACTAAACAATTCATCTTCACTATTATTTCTTAGAATGTATGTAACAAAATCAAAAAGAGTTTCAATACCACAAACAAAATTTGTACGGTCAAAGCGATTAGACATTTTTTCTAATCTAAAACATAAATTAATGTAATGATTCAATAATAAAAATTACTGTAGTTTTATACCCTTGTATAATTGAAGTAATACACTTCAAATAAAATTCAGTAGTTGTTATAGTATTCATGACTGGACTATTTTTACATAGTTCTAATAAATTTTCATATGCAGACGAAATACATCCTTTTGAACAAGATAAAAGTTTCCAAAGTTTAGGAAGGAAAATTTTTTCAGCGTTTGATTGTGACCAAAAATAATTTAACTATACAGAAAATAATATTAATAATAATGTAGTTCATACAATATAATATTCGTAAGTTTTACCTCGGGTTTTGATAAAACAATTATAATGTTTTTCCAAATGACATTTGACACGGTGATATTATCTTCATCAATATTATCGAACACAGCAAAAGCCACCTTTTTACATTCACCTTCTAAAAACTGTTGTAATTTAAATAATATAGAATGTAATAGAGTATACCAAGCTTGTCGGACCTGTAGATAAACATTGAAAAACAATTTTCAAACAAATAAAATAATCATAGAAAATATTACAAAACATACACTTGGTGTTGGATGTTTATTTAACTTCCAGTAGGTAGAATTAGAAAGCAACATTGATTTCAAATCACTTTCAATACTTTCAATATGTTCAGCGGGAAGCGAATTCAAAAATGTTGCTGTTGCATACAGACAACTGGTAGCAGTTCTAATTTGCATTTCCTTTATTTCATCTGAATCGACTCTATAAATTAATTTTAAAAACATAAATATAAAGATTTTTAATGTATACATTAGTTTATAAAAACTTACTTAGTATTTAATAATGATGGATTGGTTATGTTCTCAATTAAATAATTAAATATTTCTTTTTGACAAAATACAATTACTTCAGTTCTTTTATTTGGAGGGAAAGTATTCTAAATTATAAAGTTTAATTTAAAATCAAATTTAATTTCACAAAAATACAGACGTACAAACCTCAAAAGTGGATGATGCAACAGACGCAGTTGGTGGATGAGTGTCATACTGAGCCACAAACCAATGGGCAAAAAACCTTTTTAGAAATGGTGCTACATTTCGTTGTACACGGTTTAAGTAAGATCGCAGAGCTTTTTGGGTACCTTCACGTATACGTGGTTCATTATCTTTACATAAATTTACATATTGAGCGATCCATGGTGCAGAAACTTCTCTAACAGTATCTTCATCTTTAGAATCACACAACGTAGCAAATTCTTTTAAGGCCTACAGAACACATATTAAACGTGATCACATTTGTTTGACCTCTAATTAGTTATTGGTTATACATATATCATTACACACTTTGAGTTTAGTAGTAGAATCTTTTTTGTTCATTTTTTTCAAAACCACTTGAAAATCTGGACTGACATTGCAATCCAAAATGTCAGCAAAAGGGAATTTAATCTTATCTGGAACCACTCCATATGTATCAGTAGTACTCAACAATAATTGAGCTCTCGCACTGCTTGAAGGCTAGAACGTAAACATCAATTTTCAATACCAATTTCAATATTTCACCATTTAGACAAAACCAACTCACTTTGTAATTATTTTTGACCCTCTGAGCAACTTGCTTTTTCCCCATTATAATATAAAAATTAAGGTGATTATTTTTTTTTAATTAAAAAATTGGTATCAATACTATTACATTGACAAATTTAACATAGTATTATGCAAACATTAAATTATTGCCTGGTTCAACTCTAAACAAATGTATATTTTATTGAAAAAACTTTATAGTAGACAAATTATGTTCACAACTACTGTACATTTGTTTACAATAAACATAATATTAACATAAACACGAAACAGACATCAGTGAATCACAGTACTTTTCACCAAAAACACAACACTTATCAAATCTTGTGGAGTTGTCAGCACCATAGATAATAAACATTATTGTTATGTTTCACAGATTTCTATTTAGTGCAATTATAGAATAGATACCTATATAGAATAAACTTTTATTATCTACGTCTGTGTTATCTGATAACGATACTTACGTGGTATAAGGCTGTAGATCGAACTTGTCCACAACCATGGTTATGCTACATAGACGTGTGCTAAGTGCGCGCCAAACCACCTTTCAAAGAATTTTAATTTTAGTATTTCGAAATAAATAAGGTACCTATTCAAATATAAATATGTGATAATTTAATTTAGAAAAAACCCCGTTCGGATTTGCCTGGAGTAGTTCATTAATGCGATTTCAATTATTATTAGAGGGCCAAGTCTATCCAACCTCCCTCCTAATAAATCAATATTCAAATTCATATGAATATAATAGAACTAAGCAATTCGAAGCAATTAAAAAACATTTTTTTTTTCAAATAAACCAAACAAAGCGTAGAAACATTGCTGACCTAAATATAATAACTTTTTGTTTAATGCTAATAAATATGTAAAAAAGAAAATGTAGTAAAAAAGAGTAGATGTGTAGATATAAAATGCAGTTTGTTTGAGGCTTAGGGTAAAAAGTTTAAACTACTACGCTACTTGAATTATACATGGCCGTCGTCTGTCAGAGAAAAATCAACCCAAACTACTAGCTAAAAAGCCAAGAAACCAACGTCTTATGAGCACAAACAAATTACAATTCGAACTACTGTCATATGCACAAATAATTTATATTGCCTACAAATGCATACAAATATGATTTACTCCTCATACGACCATTCAAGGCATTCATTGTGATCTCATTGTATACATCCAATAATAATATTTTCTTATTATGCCATATAAACATATAGATTGTCAATTTTATAAATTAAAAAAAAACAAACAATATTAGTTTTAAGGTATATTTATTTATTTAAGTACCTGACTACTTATTTTTAATTTAAGTAAATTTAATTTAATTACATTTAAAGTTATTTTATTTTATATTTTTAGATGTTTAACATAATATTTATGTGTTTTATAGAATCATTAGAATATATTAACAAAAAAAAACTTATTTTAATTATTTATTTTATTTTGATTGGTTCAGATTAAAACTATTAAATAAGATTGAATTATCAACAACTAACAATAATAAAATTAATTTATAGTGTATTATAATTGTATTATATGTAATATTTTTTCATTGATCACTTATTAAATAAATTTAAATTTATAATGACTATATGATAACCTTAAAGTCAAATTTTAAATTTAAAGCTATGCCTAAGTTAGTTTTGCGTAAACTATAGGTAATGGGTATAGAATGTTTAGTACAATGGATTTTAATAATACAATATAATAAAATGTGAAATTCTGCGTTTTTGGTCATATGGCTATGCAGAAACTAGAAAAATAGTTTTTTTTTATCATTGGTCAGTGTTAGAAATTAATGCCCTTAATTTATTTTTAATTTTTAAAGAGCAAAGCAAAATACATAGGTGCATTTTGACTTTTTACATCACTCTAATCAATAAAATGAAACAATGTAATAACACAATATAATATTATACTAAATATACACTTGGCAATGCATTACAATTAATGAAGACATAACAATTCTTATGAACTAACTAAATTTGAAAACTCAGTTTCATAACTGTAATTATGTGATTACAGTAAATATTAATTACCTAACTTAAATATTTAAAATGTACACTGTACATAATTTTATTTTAGTGAAAAAACTTCTCCTAAAAAAATATACTTAATTTTATAATGAAAAACAAACTATAGGTATTAGATATAATAAGAAATAAAAATATTTAATGTGATTTATTTTTAAAAGAATTTTTATTTAACTTAATAACAACTCGGATATTTGTATTATAATTTTTGAACAACATGAATAATTCAAACACAATTATCATAAAATAATATCTATACAGTATACTCCCAAAATATATTAAATAAAGTTTGATATGGAATAAATTGTGTTGGGTATACAAAACTATATATTGCGCTCTTCTGGCTTTTTGTAAGGATAATCTAAATAATCAAAAATATCTTCTTCACTGTTTATCTCCACAGGTTCACCTGGTATACCTGGTATAATGACAGAACACATACATACAATTGTTGGTTAACATAGTGGCTTATATTTAATGGTTAATTAGTAATTAGTAATTACAAATAACATTTTACCTGTAGAACCCATTGGCCGTAAAGTATATTCATTAAGTGTAAAACCTTGGTTCAAGGCATGCTCTCTCATTTGCTTATTAAATAAATCACTCCCAGTAAAATAAAGAACAGCACAATAAAATTGATCATATGGATTTAGGCGAATATCTAATCTTCTTGCTATACGATTTACTTTGCATACACCCTAATTTAAATAAAATAAAATAAATATAATAATTTTCACACATAAACTACATTTTATTTTAGTAAAAATTAAAAATGGAAACATTATTCTATCAATGAATAACTATTCATTATTCATATATTATGTTTGAAGTACCTATTATTAAAATCAAATGTTATGCTCTTAATAAAGTGTAATTTTAATATTTGTCGTTGAAAATAGTAATCAAATAATTACCATAAACTTTGTTTCTCCCAACGATATCGTTTCAGTGATGAGGTTATTTTTTTTCAGAATATCTACAACCACTTGCAATTTGTCACTTTTTTTCTTAATATCCTGAGACATAAACGATGGATGAGAAATCAAAGTATCAATATCTCCACTGAACTTTTTACCTCGTCTAAAATTTAAAAAAAAAACTAGAATGAATAATGTTTTTATAGAAGAAATAATACAACTATTGTGGTATATATCCAGTGTTCGGAACGTTCACTAAAAAAATGAACTCGTTCACGTTCCAGTTTTTTTCAAACGAACGTGTTCACGTTCACGTTCATTCAAAAAATGAACGCATTTATTGGGCGTTCATTTAATTTTTTTTTCTCAGTAATTACTAATTAAATTTAAATTTGATATCATAGGAACTATAATGGAAAATATTATTATAATATGATTGATTAAAATATTTTAAAAATATATTTATTAAATGGTAAATAAATTAAACTTCTTAATAATCGATTAAGTTCATTAAAAATATAAACGTCGTTCACATTCACGTTCTATTTTAAAAATACGAGTGACGTTCACGTATCGTTCACTATTTATGAACGTGAACGCGTGAACGTGCGTTCATGAACGACGTTCTTTCCAAACACTGTATATACCATACATGTAGTCAAACACCATGAATTTTGTAATATTTTAATAACCAACCTATAACTGCCACAAATAGTAACTTTGTATTTAGGATCCAATTTATGTAATGTTTTCTTGATGATTTGTTCTACTTCAATAACTTCACTTCTTGGTATTTTTTCTTCAAAGTCATTTAAATATCTAAATGCAATGATAAATTATTATAATTGTGTTAACAGTAAATTATTAATAAAATTAATATACTTTAGTCCTATAATTTGATGATGATTTAATTTATCTTGATTTTTTAACAGAATGTCAATACTTGTAACACCTAAATCATATAATTCTTTTGCTTTAGCTGGTCCAATACCACTAACTCTTGTTAAATCTTTAATAGAAACTGAAGCTTCATCGCTTCTTATCTATAATTTAAAAATATAAAATAGTAATTATATCAATATTTTTAAAATTATAAAATAACTTTATCCTGATTCATCATTGCCTAACCAAAACCGCAGACGCTATGAGTATGACATTTGGTCAGTAGTTTTGTTATATTACGTAATGACACAACTATGATAGGATTTTCTAAAATTCACATTTTAACGAGGTTCTCATACAATGATTTTGAGATTCGTGGTGGAAATTGAAATTCTTTTGTACATAAATGGTTTCCTTCGGTTACCCACGCAGATGAAATGAAACCTGACGTTATACCTTATAACTTATTAGAACAGTACCCAGAAACAACTATTTTTTTTTATTAAATTAAGGTATTATAATAATATATTAGTAATGAACTAATGATCAAAAGGTAATCTCTACTTGTAATATCAAAACTGATTTAAAAAAATTGCACACAGGTGAAACCCAGTTATTTAGCTAGTTTTAATAATATTAACAACTAAATAATTTATAAATTTAAATATAAACTATACATTATCCAGTTTTTTTAATTTTCCAGTTTCTAAGAACTCATCAATTTTCTTGGATATTTTATCACCAATTCCATCTAGTTTTTGTGCTTCCTCACCAGACTTAATACGTTTAGCGTGATTAGCTAACGCACTGGCTGCTTTTCGGTAAGCGTTGGCCTTATATATATTACGTGCAACATTTTTCTCATAATCAGCCAATTCTAAACAAATACAATAATACAAATAATTTTATGTAAAACAAAATTAGGTTGATCTCTGGCTTTAGGTCTTTTTTTCTCTAGGCCCAAAGTCAGAGTTGCACAAAAAATTATTGTTGTATAACTGTGTGAGTCACTTTAGCTACTAACCAATTAAAAATTCACAAAAATCGTGATTTGGATTTGTGGAATCACTTGGAGCTTTTCTTTTGCTCATTTTATTTCAAATTTTATATTATATTATAGGTAGCTCAAATAAAATTTACGAAATCATAATTTTAAATTTTTAACAAACGAACATAAAAGACACAATAGACAATAGAGATATCTTGTAAATAATTGAGAAAAGGACGTTCACAGACCAAAGAATTTGAATCATTTCAATTAATCACCTATTTTGTGTACGGACTACAGACTTGCCGATTTTGATAAAAACCGATTACAGCGAACCTGATAAGAAAAACATTAAATGGTCCATATTTTGTGTTAAAAACTATATAGGCAACTATATACATATATAGTTAAAAACTGTATTTCTATAATATCTACTATTAAACAGTTAAAAAAACAGTTGAAATTACCTAATAGGTATGAATGTATGATAACAATTTGAAATAATCACATCAGTAAAGATTGATTGTAGGTTATTTGTTTTCACCCAGTTCAGTTCAATCTATTTAAAAATGTTCTATAATGTAACTATCATAGGCGAATCTACAGGGTGTGCCTGGTGTGCCAGGGCACACCCTGCGACTCGTATAAACCTGTGTATAGGGCCCATAATACTCATTTCAGTTACAATGGTATTGAGTCTAAACATTAAACAATTTATATTTTAATTTTAAGAGGACGTGATACCTGCATGTGTTGTCTCTGTCTTACAAGTGCGTAACATAGCAAATTTTACGCTCAGCAGAACACGTGTAGCTCCGTTAGTTTAAAAATTAGTGCGTATTGACCTCTTATAAAATCTAAAGGTAAGATTATTATCTAGTCAACCTCATAGGTTTTTTATTATATTTTAATTTTAACGCGAGTTATGAGTATTTTAAGATGTATAAAAAATTTACAATTTTAAAATACTCATAACTCGCGTTAAAATTAAAATATAATAAAAAACCTATGAGGTTGACTAGATAATAATCTTATCTTTAGATTTTATAAGAGGTCAATTTGCACTAATTTTTAAACTAACGAAGCTACACGTGTTCTGCTGAGCGTACAATTTGCTATGTTACGCACTTGTAAGACGGAGAAAACACATGCGGGTATCACGTCCTCTTAATTTTAATTTTAATACATTTTTATGGGTACAAATATTGTCAATAAATGTTATCGTGATAAGCATAGTTGATAAGAGATCAACAATATTATCAAGAAAAGAGAAAACATGTATGTTTATTTATAGCACGGCTATAGTCGTAATTTATATTCATAATCATAGTTATTTTATGTAATTTAATTTTACGAGTGATTATCATTTTTATGGTTGACAAAATGAAAAATACTTTATTTCGTATAAAGTATTATTGTATTAACATTTAACACAGAAAAATAAAGCTTAATATCATGTCGCCTAAGAATTCAAGTGGTCACTCAAAAAGAGTGTTAAAACAAAAAAAAGATGCAGAACTGAAAAAAATGAAAGGTTCATTAAACAAATTTTTGAACAAAATTGATTCAAGTAAGTACCTATATACTTCATTCTAATAAATAATATAAATATCTTGGTATTTAATTATGATAAATTGCATTAATTAATATCATTGTTCTTATTTAGTTTTATTTGATACCTACCTATTAATTATTGATAAAAAAATATAATATAGTTTACATCTACTCTATATTGACTTACTGTTCTCTATACTTTATAATTATTAAACATATTTCAAAAATATTTTACTAACTATGTAAGTCTAAAGACCATTGGTCAGAGTTCTAACAAATGCATTTTTTTTTTGTAAGTCTTAGAACATGTGAAGTAAGATACAATTTTGTTTCATCCTTCTCTAGTATTTTATAGGAATAACTTTTTTTTTTATTATTATTATTATTATTATTATTATTAGATCCTAGTGCATCCTATGATACCTCTACAATTATATAAGATCCACGATTTGATTTTGCTATAGTTATTGCATATTTATGGTTTCATTGCTTTTTGGTTTTTGAAAATAATATTAGGTATCTATTTTTGAAAATACCTATATTATTAATGTGTTTTAAATTCAATATAACTGCTGGAAGTTATCAATTTTAATATTATATTTACGCAATTACGAAGTGCCGTTAAAAATAGGACTTTTGGAACCAAAAACTGTATTACAAATAGGAACACATAAGTTACATTTTTGTTTTGACCAAGTGCTATAATTATGTATTATGACATTCTACATGCTTCTTAAGATTTACTTTAAATATGAAGATAAATTAAGTTTGTAGGATAGAAACATGGCTTGAACAAAATTATTTTTAATAGCTACAGATAATACTATATGTTATAATTAAGACGAATACCATAAGCACCACCCTACGCTATAGAACCATATCCATATGTAAAACTATCTAACTAATTAGTATTTAATTGTCGAATTATGATGATAATATATCTAATACATATAAAGATCGTACAATTCAACTTGATATGTGATCTATACATTAACACTAAAAAAGAAAAAAAAACTTATTATAAGACGGAGAACAAATGCCCACGTGGCGTAATTTTATATTAGGTATATATTAGATCATAATTATAACCAATTTCTTATGATGTAAGTACCTAGTATAATAGTATTAAAGATATTTAGGAATATCAAAATAAATCTTAATAAACCACATTATTACAGAATAGGTACCTAATACTTGCTTATCAAAGTATAACCACCGCTATTGATAACAAATGCCCATGTGGCGTAATTTCATAATATATATTAGATCATAATTCATAATTATAACCAATTTCTTATGATGTAAGCACCTAGTATAATAGTATTAAAGATATTTAGGAATACCAAACCAAATCTTAATAAATCACATTATTACAGAATACCTAATACTTGCTTATCAAAGTATAACCACCGCTATTGATATATACTAGTATTGAAGTAGGTGTATGTATTTTTAATTGTATATAATATTTTAAATGTAATATTGTTTTAATCTCAACATGATGTAAACATGTAATTAATGATCATAATATGTATAGATAGGTACACACAGGTAGGTGGTATCAATTAAACACTTGAAAAATAAGTTATCTGATTTATTAAAAAATATATTTTATATTGGGTGAGTATCATTATAAATGTATAACCTACCTACCAGTATAACTGTATATAACTATATAAGTAAAATTATATAACTTCATACAATTATTGAGGAATGTAAGCGACGTGCACTAAATAATATGGACAATTTTGTTGAGTTTGATTTTAACTTGACGTCTTGGTGGCAATGCTGAGAAACTGAAAAATTTAAATTACACAAAAATTATATATGTTATATGTACCATTTGGTCTAATATCATAACTGAATTAAGATAATAAATAATAAATAATAATGATTGTTACAACACTGTAATAGGTATAATGTTATACCATTTCCAACTTACCTTTATAAAATAGTATAACATGGTTTGCGGCAACAAACATGTCCATAAGATTTTTACACCGTCAATCACTATATATAATTCAATGACGAAGGAAAGAAATAACTTTTTACGCTAAACTCTTATTTGAAAATGTATAAGATAAATAATAGTTTTATATTCTGGCATATTTTTGTACCGACATTGTTTTTTTTTGTGAAATTATTATCAATCTTTGATTTTTAAATGGCAACATACCTAGGTATTAATATATTTTATTTCATAATTACTAATATGAATTTTTGGTGTATGTATACATATCTATACGTATAGGTATTGAACGAATATCAATGGGTTATAGGTATATTTATACTATCAAATTACTCATATTTCCCTATATTTTAATGTGTGTGTGTACATCAGGCAGGTGTAGGTACAAAGTAGGTACTTATATAAGTACTAATGTACTGTATAGTATATTATATTATACGATTAGTCAATGTCGAATAAAAGATGGAATTTCATTAGATCATCGTTTTAAAAAAAAATGATAATGGTTGGTAACAATATGTAGTACGTATATGTATATAATGTATGAGAACCTATATATATATATTATATATATTTGTTAATTGTTTTCAATTATAACATCAAGCATGTATTCATTGATAATGTACCAACTCACCAGCTAGTAGTTATAATTTAGAAATAAAATGTTTATATTTGTATCAAATTCTAATTATTTAATTGTAATCCATACGATGTGTATATTTTTGAACTATGTTTACACTTTTATAGTTTATATAATATTATATGGGTAGGTAAACTAAATGAGTAAACTACCTATTACGAAATAAAACAATATTAATTTGTATAGTTTTATTTTTAAAGCATGTTGACCCTAATTTATAAAAGTTATTTGTGTAATTTTAAAAATATTTACTATGCAGACTTAAAATATCTTTAATCTCAATTTGAGTTGTTGACATTCGTTGTTTTTAAACAATCGTTCTCCTCTGTCTCTGTGATATGTATAAATATAATTGTAAACACAGCGGTCAGCGGGTAACTTCCTAACTCGAATAAACCATTATACCTAATCATTATTTGCTTAAAAATAATCATATAAACTAAATTTATTTTTCTGTTTGGATGGATCCAAATCAACATTTAAAATCTGCTGATTCTTAATGAGCTGTAAGTATAGTTATATTTTTAATTACTTTTTAAACATAATATTAACTCCACTGTATTATTAAGATAATGTCTGCGCACCGTTTGTTTTCTCTCTCTGACCGACGCGTAACATAGCAAATTTATATTTAGCAGAACCATTTACCAACCCTATGTTGTTAATTTTCATGTTAGAGTTAATTCACCTATTATTCAACTTTAAGCTAAGAACATAACCTGTGTTCCTAAGTTGGATTTTTACAACATTTTAATTTTTATACTATTTATATGGACATTTTTAAATTGCAAAAATTCGCACTCTCATAACTTACATAAACAATTTAAATTTCATAAAATATCCAAAATAAGGACATGGATAATGTTCTTAACTTAAAGTTTGATTATAGGTGAATTCACTGTAATATTAAAAGACAAAAGTATAAAGTAGTAACACTGTGTTGATTCTGCTAAACGTAAATCTGCTATAATGCACGTGGGTCAGAGAGAGAAAACAAATATTGCACTGACATCCTTTTAATTCAATTTTATTTTGTATTTGAAATGTATTATTTAGATAGTTTGAATAGATATATTATAAATGTTTAACACATTGAAAGACACTACTGCTATAGCAGTAATTTACAATTTTGATGTAAGATGACATGACTGCTATAGCAGTAATGTGAAACTGTTCATATTATGGCATTATTTTAATTTTATGTTCCAATACAATAATATTATACCGATAAATATGGCACATGTTACAAGAATTCATGTAAAATTAAAAACACTTAAAGATGTGACGTAGCCATGGGAACTGAGGGGGG